ACCATGGCCTGTATCAGACGCACCTTAGTCTCCAGAGAGACACCATTGCTCTTCAGTACTTTGTAGAGGTCCCTAACAGCAGACTTTCCCATGGCAATGCGCCTTTTAATTTCTTGGCTACTGGTGCCGAGAGTGTTGACTGTGGAGCAAAGCAAACTAAAGCTGTGTACAAGCTCAATCTCTTCACCATCCATCCTGATGCTGCCAATTGGTCCAGTGGTGAGAATCTTTGTCTTCTTGATCTTTGTAGTGATTTATAAAACAAGTGGCGAGAAACTATTATTGATTGGCATTGCTTTAATCAGAGAGAATAATATTCCCACCGTGTATGTTCAGCTGATTATTGGTAACCCAGAGCTGTATTTGGGAAGTATCTCTGGAAATTCTTCATTTGAAATAGAAATTACACTTCACAATAGAAGCTGTATTATTCATAGTAGTACAATGCCCTTATTTTCCAAACCAGCAAACTGTCTAGGAAAGGATTTGGGTACATACGTATTTATATTCATAGGGGGTTTTTTTGATGATTTATGGGGACAAGAAATGAGAAAATTGGCTTTTTCCTGGAAAATTCATGCTCTCTAGTTGCTGGAACATTGTATGTAATTGGGCCTGACCACAAATCTGATTTTCATGAAGCACCAGTTGTGCTATAAAAGTAAGCTGTTCTGTATAGTAAGTGGTGGTTCTACTGGAAATCTAAAAACCCATGAATCATTCCTTCTTAAAGTTGGGGAGGTGGCTTAGTCAATTCAGTTCAGGGAATTCAGATCAGTTCTTAAATTGCATACCTCTTCCCTCTACCAGGACTTTAAAAATCAACCTTTTCTTACTGAATTTTGCTGCCAGTTCATTCACTGCTGAGAATATTTACATGACAAAATTATTGCACTTGTGCAACCATTGTCCCCTTCATTTTCTGACAATTCTACCTCCGTTGACGTAACTGCCTGATAAGCTTCCTGTCTATTCTTTCCCATTGTTTGATCCCATGTACATAATTCTTAAAACAGCACGGTGCTCAAGGCAGACTTTTTTTTAAGGTATTGCTGGTAGGTGCTGACTCTGCACCTGTGACCCTGTGAACAACAGATCTGAACCTGGTCCTTTCTGGAGCCAGCTTCATGATCTCTGATAAGCCCATTGTCAGTCATTGTCAATCTGTCTTGTTGAGGGCTTAGTTAAGCTAAACTTTCTTTAATTTAAAGACTTTAGGGAATATTTTTGGCTTAAAGATTATTTCAGACCACCAAAATTACCTCTTTACTCCCTCCCCTGCCTCCCTTCTCATCCAGTTTGGTGAAGAGAAACGCAAGGATTTGGTTAGACTTTGTGATAATTAACATTAATTGGTTGTCATTAATTCTATGGATCAGTTTTAATTAATTCTATAAAAGTGTGAATGATTAAATGAAAACCCAAAAAGATTTGTAAACATCAAATGAAAAAACCCATTTTAATTAGGGCAATTATTTCAAGGCTTTATCTGCTTTTTGGCTTCTGAATTTTGAGTCATGAAAATTTCTAATTCTGCATTTTCTCCCCTTTTAATAAGGATTCTGCAATTTGTGGTCTTTGTTCAGCATGTTCCACGTTGATAGCAGGGCACCTTCAGTTCCTCTGGTCTCCTGGCAGAGGAGGCAGTTGTTTATGGATACAGTGAGCCTCACAGTTCCATGTCTTCCTCAGATTCCTGTCTCCTCCTCCTGTTGCTCCAGGCAGAGAGAGCAGTTGTTGTGCCTGGGATGTCCGCTTACACGCCTTTAAACCTCTATGCATTTAAGAAACTTTGAAGTAGAACAGAAATATTATTAATATCAGTTAATTGGAATGTCCCATGAAGCCACAACTTCCAACACTCTACTTCCCTCCCACAAAAAAACCATCCTACAAAAGCTAATTGCTATGAATGAAATGTCTATGAATGATTATATAAAACTGATGGTATAAATAAATAATTAAAAAGTAAACAACTAATAGCGATTGGTTAAGAACTAACTCATGGCTGACCTTGCAGTGCATTTTCAGAGGCTGTAAATCGCAGGAAGGCTGCGCCTCTGAACAACCAAATACTGAGAGGGTTTGGGCTGTACCTGAACAGCTTTGGCAGCTACTGGTTTTTTGGTTTTGTTGTTAATGTTTTTTAAATCACTGTTGTAAATATATCTACCACACACTTTCCCCCCC